ACTAGTTTTTATCGATGGTATTATGGACAAAATGAAATATTTGGACAGTTTTTTTTAAATTTAATTACTAGTGCTATAAATATGGGTCTACGCGTAGAGTTTTAAGTTTTATCAGGACAATAATCCTAAATACAAGAAAATAGGCAGACAGGAATGTTTATTATACAAAGGATTCTGATCCTTATTATACAAAGGATCCCCGAATGTTCGCTCGAATTTCTTCGTCTCGTCCCGATCCCGTAACATCGGGATCCCGCACACGCCTGCAATATAGCAACATTGCTCATATTTTGATATCCTGTTACATCGATCCAATTTAGACGCATTTAAAGAAAATGAACGTCCTACATTTCCAGAAAATATGAATGCAAAGAAGTTTGAAGAAGATGATCTTAACTTGAAGCAAATACCTGAAAACTTGAGGGAAGAGGTTTGTTTCCTTTTTATTAAGATTCTATAAACATATTGTTGAAAGTAGGATTTTTAATAGCATCATTTCTCGCTGTCCACAGAATGAAAAAGGCAATAATGAAGATGAAAGAACTGACGGAAAAAGGGACCCAAAAAGACTTCGTCTATAGGTCACTGATTGGTTGGGAAAACATTGAAAACACAGTTTAACAAATAACTGTGATCTTCATATGCAGACTAGTCAGGATAAAAATTGTTTACTTGTATTTTCGCGATATATATTACGTATGTGTATATATATATATGCTGATGATGATGATATATATATTATGCTGTGACTAGTCTGCATATAAAGATCACAATTATTTCTAAACCTAGATATATATATATAGTCAATAAAAATTGTTTACTAGTATTTTCGCGATATATATTTTTTATGTATATATATCGCGAAAATACAAGTAAACAATTTTTATGCTGACTAGTCTGCATATAATGATGATGATTAATTATGTATATATGTATATAATTTAATAATGTATATGTATGTATGAGGAAAGATAGTGGTGACACTTCATCATTTCGTGCAAACTGTTGAGTTTGTAAATTAACATCGGAAAATTCAAGGTCAGGGATCAACCGCACTGACCTTAACGTTTCAATAGCTTACCGTACTGTATGTGTGTACGATATGTATATTATATAATCTATATATTTTTTCGATTGTCTTCACTGAATTCCACCATTTTCCTAATATACACATTTCTGTACAAGATGTAGCAATAAATATATTTTAACGTTACTATAAAGTGCTTTTTCTTTTCCTTTAATTAACTCTTCTACGACGGCATATGTGTACTGTACGGATTCTTCAGCAGTTCCTAGTGGCTGACGTCTATGCGGTGTACGTACCGCCGAGTTGCTACTTGTTACACCGCGTTACTTTTGTTTCGATCCCGTCTGTATAAATCGTACCTTTTAGCGTGTCTCAATGATGTCCGAATTTCGTAGAAATGTTTATAAAATGCAGAGATCAAGTCTTTCGAATTTTTTTCACGAGATGCAGTCCAATTCTAGCACTCTGGCATCAACCAATAAAGGTATTTCGTCTAAGAGAAATTTCTTAGAAAATATAAGTGATAGTACTGTTAATATTAGTGATAATATGCATAACTCTAAGCGAAGAAATTGTCGATACAAGGCTATCTTTGGACACGATTAGTGAATTGCAGTTTAGTGAAAATGATGAAGCAGGATCGTACATAAACAGGCAACGGTTTTTTTCTTTTTATTGGTAGGACGTGGATACACACACACAATGCAGAATGGGAAATTTTCTCTAAAAAAAGCGACCTACGCAACGATGCGAAAAATATAACAGATCCAATAGCAATATTGAAATTATTTTTTGATGCGCAGTTTGTAAAAATTATTATGGATGAGACAAATAGGTACGCCGAGCAAAATTTATGTAATAAAATACTTCCACTAAGATCACCACTAAGACAATGGACACTTGTATCGATAGATGGAATGTTATGATGCTAGCATTTGATTTATTGATGGCGATGGTAAATAATAAATCCACCATGAAAGCATATTTCTCTACCAAAGATGTCATACACACGCCCATATTTCTGAAAATAATGACCAGAGACTAACTTTTACTTATTTGCAAATTTTTACATTTTACAAACAATCATGAAGAAGCGAATTGTCAAGGTCCACCAAAATTATTCAAGATATTTCCAATTATTCAACACCCGAATAAGAAATTTCAAACACTTTATGATCGTGATCGAAACATTTCAATAGATGAATCCCAGACTTTATAGAAAGGGATAATTGTATTTCAAGCAGTATTCATATGTGTGTATTCCCCTCAACGCATCAAAATTTGACATAAAGACATTTGAGTTATGCGAAGCGGGTAGTAGGTTCTTGCAGAAATTTTTAGTTTATACTGACACTAATTTACCATCGAGTTTGTCGTCTCTAATTATGTCAAATATGAACAAAACTACTTCTACTGTGTTGCACTTTGCTGAACCACCCCTACATCAATGATATGCTATTTGGACGGATAATTTCAATTATTCTCTACATTTGTCCAAGATACTGAAAACAAATGGCACAGATTTTGTAGGGACTATTCGAATAAATCGAAACGATGTGCCACAGT